GTATTAGTGCTTTATGAAAACCACTTTGGCACCTGAACAGAGAATGGATTGTATTGGAAATTTGAAGAGTGGGAAGGGTTATTGGAATTCATTTAATCTAATGCCCATAATTTTTTGTTTTTAATTTTTAATTTTTGTCATTCTGAACTTGACAAACTACAAAACATGTGAACGTTTCCACATGCAAAAAAACCCAAAGAGGATTATTCATGAAATTATAAATCTCTATGTACAAATACATAAATGTGTATACATGTATGTATAATATATATTATACACATTTTTGCACATTACTTTCAAAACTATGCTTATCTGACAAGCAATCTTGTATAGAGAAATACTTATCCCCATACTCATTCCACAGAGCTAACATCTCTAAATGTATGTATTCACCTATAATCAAGTAGTAGGGATCAAAGGTTCATAGATTTAGAGCTGTAATTGATTGATCGATCCACAAGCATTTATTAATTGCCAACTATGTTCCAAGTACTGTACTAGGTAAGGGGTTACAAATACAAATAAAAGAATGAAACAATTCTGAATCTCAAGGAATGTACACTAAGGTACTAAGGTACCTTAGTAGTTACCTAGTCCAAGACTCTCATTTCACAGATGACCAAGAGAGGTTAAGCAAATTGCCCAAATTAACACAGATAGTCAGCAATGGAAGTGGAATTTGAAGCCAAGTTCTCTGGTAGCCCAGAGAAGAAATGGAAGCAGGGAACTTTTCTGAGGTCAGAAGCTGTATAAATGATGGGAAAAAAACCCAGGCTGGTGTTCTGCATGGACACAATTGGCAATCCTCAACTCTGAAAGCGCAGTATAAAATATTATACCTAGAAGTGTAACATGATATTAAGGGACACCATATGGTGGTGGGTGTGAACAAAAAGAGAAAGGAATGTCCATAACATGTTAGTACTGTGCTTAGAAGTATACATGTTCTTATCCTTTAGATAGTCAAATACGTAAAAATCTTAACTGAACAAAGTCATAAGAGATGCAAGGATATTTGATCTCTTAAAGATAACTTTGATAGAACTCTCACATACTTGTGATAAATTCAGAATAGATCTAGAAGAACAAGTACTTAAGATGTTTATTAAACTAGATTTTGGCTTGGAAAATTTCTTAATGTTTAATTCAGTTTTAATTTCTGTTGTCCCTTCAAAAATCATGTTTCTGGGCATCAAAAGGATTTGACAAGTTCTATTCAATTCCTTTCACTCTGATATAACTCAACAAGTATTTACTAAGTGCAATGATAAGAGAGAAACTGTAGAGAATAGTAGTAACAGGACTGAATCCCAAGTCTGGAAGACCTGCGTTTGAATTCTGATTTAGACATTTAATGGCTATCTTACCCTGGGCAAATCATTTAACTTCTACCTGAAAAAAGTTAGGTGCTAACAACAGCACCTAACTCATAGTGTTGTTGTGAGGATCAAATGAGATAATATAGGTAAAGTGCTTGACAAATCCTGAAATATTGTATGAATGTTAGTTATTTTTAGAGGCCAGTGTTCCAGGCACTTGACCTCTAAATCTGATAGGTTTCTCCATCAATACAAATTGGCTCCTCTGCAGCTTATACTTAGAGAGTTGCTTGGGTCACTGTCCTGAACCCAGGTCAAACTGTCTCTGAGGCTATCCCTCTATCTACTATGCCATGCTACTACTATGGTACTAGAGATAACAAGACATATGTAAAAACAGTCCCTGTCTTCAAGGAAGAAAGTGGGAAGAAAAAATGCAAACAGGTGTAAATATACACACACGTATATGCATATGTGTGCATATCATATATATACATATATGTATATATATATAATGTGTGTATGTAGCAACCAATAAACATTTACTAATCACCTACTATGTATCAAGCACTATGCTAACTGCACAGAATACAAAAAGAGGCAAAAGACAGTCCCCTGCCTCCAAGTAGCTCAATTTAAAGGGGAAGATAACAAGCAAAAACTATGTACAAACAAGATATGAAAATGATACATAGAAAATAATTAAGAGAGGGAAGGCACTAGAATTAAAAAGAGTTGGGAAAGGCTTCCATAAAAGATGAATCTTTTTGCTGGGATATAAAGGAAGCCAAAGGAAGGCAGTAGGCAGAGTAGAAGAGGGAGAGCATTCCAGGTATGGGGGACTGCCAGAAAGAATGCCTGGATCAGGAAGATGGAGGGGGAACAACCACAAGAATAGTTTCATTGTATGGAAGAGTATGTTATGGAAAGTAAAGTGTAAGAAAACTGGAAAGGTGGGGGGGGGGCGCAGCTAAGTAATGAAGGGCTTTGAATGCCAAACAGAAAATATTGTATTTGCTCTTGGAGGTAATAGGGAGCTCCTGGAGTTTAGACTGTCACTTAAGAATGGAGAGACACTAGAAGCAGGCAGATCCACCAGCTGGCAATTGCAATAGTTCAGGAGTTGGGTGATGGGGCCTGCACTAGAGTGGTGGCAGGATCAGAGAAGAAAAGGGGAAGCATTGAGATGTTGCAAAGGTGAAATCAACAGGCCTTGGTAACAGATTGGACAAGGTTGGGGTGGGGTTTGAGGAGTCCAGGATGACTCCTGGGTTACCAACTCTAGGCATGGGAAGATGGTCTTGCCCTCTGCAGTAATAGGGAAGGTCAAGGAATGTTTAGGGGGAAAGATAATTAATTCTGTTTTGGATATGTTTAGCTTCTACAAGATGTCTGAAAAGCAGTTGGAGATGTGAGATTAGAAGAGGTTGGGGCAGGATAGTTAGATTTGAGAATCATTGGCTTAGAAATGGTAAGTAATCCATTGGAGTTAATGAAATCAACAGGTGAAATAGTATAGAAGGAAAAGAGAAGAGGGCCCAGGACACAGGCTAAGGGACAATAACATTTAGAGGGCAAGAGCTGGATGAGGATCCAGCGAAGAAGGAGGAGCAGTCAGACAGATAGGATGAGAACTAGAGTAAGATTTAAATGGATGTACATATGAGTGTGTGTGTGTGTGTGTGTGTGTGTGTGTTTGTGTGCTTATTCCTCATTCTCAGAGGACCAAAATGGTATCACTTTCTTGGAGTCAAGGTTTAGTGTGTCCAACTGTGGCTGATCAGACCAATATGAGCTTTGAAGGCTCTACCACAGGATTGAGAACAAATAGTCCATGTGAACATTTGGAGTGGAGATGTCTCTAAATTTGTGTTTCTTTTGTTTCTTTTGAGGGGCTGTAGTTTTCCTTTGATCATATAGCACAGTGCCCTCTTTGAAATGGGGATGCCGTACTGGGTGGTCCCTTGCCAGTGTCTGCCATGTCATGCAATCAATTCCAAAGTTTTTCAGAAGACCATGAGAGTGTCCTTGTATCACATCTTCTGACCAGTATGTGAGCTCTTGCCCTGTGTGAGTTCTCAGTAAAATAAGCTTTTAGGCAAACGATGTTTGTCATTCAAACAATGGCCAGGGTTCAAATGGGAAAGTAACAAGTGTTTATTAAGAATCTACTATGTTCTAGGCACTGTGCTAATCAATTTATAAATATTATTTCACTTGATAGCTACCAGTGTGGCCTTGTGCAAGTTACTAACTCCCTGGATCTCAGTCTTCTCATCTTTAAAATGAGCAGGGTCATCTAAATGGCCTCTAACTTCCCTTTTTCCTTCTATTGTCCCTCCCTCCAATAAGAGTGAGATTACTCAGATGATATGCTTTGCAAACCTTAAAGCACTCTATGAATGCTATTATTGTGAATAGCAAACTCATTTAATGAATTAGCAAATATTTATTAAGCCCTTACTATGTGTCAGACAGTGCTACCTAGAAAAAAAGTAAAAAACGATCCTTGCTTTCAAGAACTTACGTTCTAATAAGGGAGCCAGCATAGAAGCATACAGGGTGTCCCTAAAGTCATTGCAATTTTAAGTTTTAAATAATGCTAAATATTAAATTTAAACACTTTGGTGTTTAAATTTAATATTGAGTATTATTCAAAACTTAAATTTGAGTAAAGACTTTTTGGGAAACCCTAAGTGTGTAACCAGAGACGCAGAAAATCCAAGGTAACCTTAGAGAGGACTGGGAAAAATTTCCTATAAAAGGTGGCACTTGAGCAGAAACTGCCCCGGGCTATGGAAGTAGCTGTGGGTGCGTGGGGCCACCCCACGGAGGAGGATTGCCCCAAAGGTTTAAAACTACCAGAGTTACAGAATAGTGGGACTTAAACCCCCTCCACCCAACCCGCGAATAAAACAAATAAGGCCCTCCACCGGCAGCTGCTCCAGTTCTCTGGACAGAGGGGGTGGGCGTCTATTCCTAGGCTTCAGGACCCCCAAGCGGAGGAGAAGCAACAACTCTGCGCCGCAGCACACCCCACCCCACCCCGGCCTGCTCCTGGCTCCTTCCCCACTTTCACCCACGAAGTTCTGGATTCACAGGGTTTGCAGTCTCGCAGGGCACCTCCGCCCCGCCTCCAGCCCCTGGGGCTCCCAGGGGTCTCCACCCTCGTTTAGGAAGGCACACATGGGGGAAGTGTGAGTGTGCCAGTGATGGGGGACAGTGAGAGAGGGCATGGAAAGGAGTCTTCTGCTAAAGTCTGTGGAATATTTATCTGACTTCCTTTAAAAAAAATGCGAATTTCTCCCCCCTTCTCCAAATCCAGCATTTGCTAAAAAATGTATATGTATATATATATATATACACATATATAAATAAACAAATAAATAAATAAATAAAAGGAGAGAGAGGAGAGCAAAGACAGCAAGAGGACAAGCGGCTAGCGACCACAAGCTTCAGCTCCCCTCCTGGCCCCGCCCACCTCGCTCCTTCTGCCCTCCCTCCTCCTGAGCTCCACGGGCCGCCCCCCTCCTTTCCGAGAGGAGGCGGAGACAGGCTCCACGACGCCATTTTGGATGCCTGTCTAGCCCCAATGTTTACCACTCTATGGCTCTTCTCCTCCCTCCCCTCCCCTCCCCACTCATTGTCTGTAAGAGCAGCGGCGGGCGGCAGCAGCAGCGCTTTTCTCTTTATAAGCCCCGCAGTGCCCGGATGTGCATGGATTACAATGTATCTTTCAGGGAAACCTATTATTATCAATGTGACTCCACGGGGGAGTCAATGGTGATGATGATGGTGATGATGATGATGATGATGAGAAATCTCTAAACTTGGAACAAGTTTAAGACTTTATAGGAGACGAAGAAAAAAACCAACCAACAAGATTTGTTTGAGGAAAATTATTAACTATTCTGTTTACATATTTTTTTAAAGGAACAATAAGGAAAGGGGAGAAAAAAGTTGGTGGATTTTTCTTTTTTTTTCTTTTTTTTTGGTGGGTGTGGGTGAAATTTTCTTGAAGTTCTTTTATGGTGGAAAATGCAAAAATCAGAGCCAGGTGCATGATCTTGTGATCTGTGGAATATCCCTGGAGCAGGACTGAGTACCAGTTAAAAAGTACTTTTTGGGGGATACACATGTGAGATACTAAGCACTTGCAGAAGATTTTCTCTTTTTCAAAAGTCTCTTTCCTTGGAATATTGTGAGAATATTTGTGGCCATTTAAGGTAAAGTTACAATTTGCTGTCAGAGTAAACTGTCTTTTAATTTAATTTATTGTTTTAAAGAAATTTTGATCCTAATGTGTTCTTAAAGCAAAAGGAGCAACTTGTGAAGTGATAGCAATTTGAGAAGAAAAAAAGTGTGTGCCTGCATTATTTGTCTGTACTCGCACATGTAGAAATAACAGGGTGTGTTTAATGTGTATACTTCAACACACGTTGAAGCCTATATGTTACAGATACTGCATAAAGTACGCGTGTATAACGAAACTTGAGAAGTATAAAGCTTTATTTTAACCTGAAAAGTGACGCGAAAATAGATTCTTGTAGCCTATAGGCCCTGTTGCAGTAAATGTTGAATTTAAACATATATTTCTGGGGAAAGGGGATTGAGCAGTCCTTGGAAACTCGAGTGTGAAAAGCAAACAAAACAACAATCCTCCCCAAATGCTTACTTGCTAAGTTTGTAGCAATACTCTCTGTGACTTAAAAAAAAAGGAGGGGACAAAGTATGTACAGCTTACAGATAGAGGAAGAACCAAAACAGAGGAAACAACCTCCCCCTCCCCAAAATTTTTTTTGAGTTGGTTTATGTATGGAAAAGAAAATGTTCCTCTTGGCAAAGTCTTTTTGCATCACGTGTATTTGCAGCCTAGTATAAACTTGCCTTGCCCTGTGTGTGAGAGAGCAAGAGAAAGATAGAACCGAAGAAATTGAAACTATAATAAATTAAAAAGTGCCTCCTAGGAAAGAAACCGGCAACGATTGAACTGTTAGTGCTTCAGATAATATCTTAGGGTTTGAGGGAAAATGAGGTGCCTGATGGATTTCCGTTTGTATTTCTTTTCTTTTCTTTTCTTTTCTTTTTTTTTGAGGAGGGGTCGTAGGGGGAAGGTGCAGGGGAGATGTTATGATTTTTTTTTTTTTTTAAAGAAATGCAGCCCAGACCAACCTAGCCAAACCGACCTGGAAAGAAATGCGTCTCTTCTCTTCAGCACCCCCCCCAACCCCCCCGCCTTTGCTGAACTTGCAATTCCGTCTGTCTTTGCGTGTTTCCCCCATTACACACCTCCCCTCCCTTCCCTAAAGGAGCAGAGAGTTGGTGTTAAGAGTCAGGGATCTTTGCAGGGTGTCTCTGGATCTTGTAGTAGTAGTGGTTGGTAGTGGTGAAGGAGGAGGAGGAGAAGAGGAGGAGGAGAAGAGGAGGAGGAGAGGAGGAGGAGGAGGAAAAGAGGAGGAGGTGGTGGTGGTAGTGGTAGTGGTGGTAGTGGTGGTAGTGGTGGTGTGTTTTGTGAATGCAGTGATTAGAAATGAAACCCGTTTCGGTGCTGTTATTGGAAGGGGAGCCCCATCTCTCTCTCGGGCGGTAGGTACCGGAGCTGGCATTTCTGGTGGATCGGTGGCTGATGGTGTGATGGTGTGGCTAGCGGACGGAGCCCGGAGCTAAGATCTCGAGGCTCGGCCAGGAGCTGCTGGAGGGTGGCTGGAGCCTTCCTTTCACGGGCTTTTCCCCTCTTTCCTTGGGGCTGCGATTTCATTTCTGCTCCATAGAGACACCACCCCCCCTTCTTGTTTCCCCTCCCTCTTCTCTTCCCCCCCTCCATCCACCCTCCCTTAGCGATGCCCACTTTAAAGGAACTGATGACTTTGCTATGGGCCTTAAAAAAAAAATCACCCTTTACTCCACAAATTAGGGTTTTGCGTAATTACCGAACCCGATCCCACTACCCTCTATTCTGCCACCTACCCCTCCATCGGAAGTGTTTTTACTCAGAAGATTCGCATCTTTTAATTTCTTCATAGCTACTTTATAAGGAGGGGAGGTGTGTGTGTGTGTGTGTGTGTGAGTGTGTGTGCGTGTGTGTGTGTGTGAGAGAGAGAGAGAGAGAGAGAGAGAGAGAGAGAGAGAGAGAGAGAGAGAAGAGAAGCGCGAGGGGTAGGGGGAGGGGGGAAAGTTGAGACCGGATCGTTGCTGAGTAGTTTCTCTTTTCTCTGAGATCCATTCATTCTTTGCTGTACCTCCTGTTGCATAAATGATGCGCTGAGAGCGGCTTTTTTTTTTTTTTTTGGATTTGGTTTTAGAGTGGATGTTACCAGTTTTGATCGTCTCTTTTGGAAATACAATACCTTTTTTTTTTTTTTTTTGCTACTGCTGCCCCTTCCATCTTAAAATATTCCCCCCCTTCTCCTCTTCCCCTCCCCTTCCACTTCAATAACACCCCTCACCCCATCCCCCCAGTCTCCAAAAATCCGATTGTGTTTCCTCTAAGGATCGGGACTGGGTTCTGATTGCGGTTATTTCCATGTTTCTAGGTTTGTGTGATTTTGCTAAAATGCATCACCAACAGCGAATGGCTGCCTTAGGGACGGACAAAGAGCTGAGTGATTTACTGGATTTCAGTGCGGTAAGAAAGAACGGTGGAAACTAACTACAGCTGTAAAACAAAACAAAACAAAACACTAGCTAAAAACAAATAAACTGTAATCTAAAGTACACAAGTAATTTTTAATCGGCTAAGATCATGCTAAATTTGAATGTCTTTATGGACAAGTCTTCATCTTTTCGGGTGAAATGAAAAATAAAGGCATTTTCTGTTTTCCCCCTTTTTTCAAGTTTAATTATGTACTTTAGAAGCCTCCTTCCCCAAGAAAATTAGAGTTCAAATGGAAAAACACCCTTAAGTAAACTCAAAGGTTGAACATATCAGAACATTGAAAGTACTTGTACTTTCTCACTACTCATTGTTTCAATAACATTTTTTTTTTTTGGAAATAGATAAGAGGAGAAGCCAAATATCTCAGTTTTGTTTTAAACTGATGCTTTGAATTAGAAAGACCTTCTGCCCTCCAAGTGAAATCTCTTCTTAGAATTCTAAAAGCATATATATATATATATATATGTATACACACACACATATATGTATGTATATACTTACTTATATGTAAGCATATATGTATATATCCTTTTGGATATGCAATTTGTAATTTTAATAATTTCTAAACTAGCATTAACAAGAATATGTACATTTGGAGAGTTTAACAGCCTTTGCTGCCCCTCTCATCCACCTCTCTATTCCCCTGCCCATATCCAATCCAAAACTTGCCAGGAGTATTTATTTATTTTTAATGATTGATGAGTTTGGTGGTAAGATGCATTTGCAAAACAAAACCAAAAATAATAATCCACAACATGCACCATCCAGAACCGCCTTGTAAATGGGGTTGCTTCAGTGCTGCTAGTGCTGCTGCTGGTGCTGCTGCTGCTGGTGCTGCTGCTGCTGCTGGTGCTGCTGCTGCTGCTGACTTTTCTTTGGAGAAATGGCTTTTGGAAGTTTGGCCAGGAAACATAGCCTGAGGCAGCTTTGCAGCCCCCTCTTAGCTTGTTGCACTTTTCCCATTTGTTTCTTTGCTTTTTGCAGGCTCTGACTCAGGGAAGGTGCGTATTATCCACTAGAAACGTCGAAGAAGAGGGAAACCAATTAGGGTTGAAATAAATATAGGGGGAGAGGAGAAAGAGAGGAGAGGAAAGGAGAGAGAGAGAGAGAGAGAGAGAGAGAGAGAGAGAGAGAGAGAGAGTCTTGCTTCAAATTGCTCTCATGTTAGAGACGAAATGAGAATTTAGTGCAGGTGGCAGTTTGCATTCATTTTTATTTGGGTTCACATATGACAGACAAATCCTATGCGGGATTGAAATGGACGTTGCCACCTTCATGGCCAAGGTTTTAAACTTAAAACAAGCAACTTTTTTCTTCTTTATCAAAATGCTAGTTGCAGGGGAGGCTTGTTGTCTCTAACTTGAATCTTGATAACATTTTGGGGACTGTGGTTTTTCAAAATGTTAATAATATTGTCTAGGAATCTAATGAGTCTAATTGAAAAGAGGGGTGTGTAAGAAAGAGTTGGGAAGGGGGGTGGAAGAGTGTGGATTAGTAATACTGTGCCAGTTTTAGTTTTGAGTTGAATGGTGATGTGTTGTATTAAAGAAGCCCTTTACATAAGCTTTGACTTATTTGTTAAGAATGTGAAGGAACTTTTGACTAGCTGTGAACACACAAAAAATGCTTCTTCTCTTCTAGCAGTAATGTTTCTTTGTTTCTTTTAGATGTTTTCACCTCCCGTGAGCAGTGGGAAAAATGGACCAACTTCTTTGGCAAGTGGACATTTTACTGGCTCAAGTATGTAAATTCTTTCCTTAGTGTGTAGTTAAAATGTTATTAGTTGTGTATTACCTTGTAATATATGTATATACGGGGCTTTCTTGATCTGTTTTCAAAGGCAGTCACTGAAAGATAAGCAAAATGGCATGAATTATTTCAGGGTTTGACAGTTGAATGGCACACAAAAATTTTTGGTTTTTTTGAAAATTAAGTTTTTTGCTTCCTCTCTGGCAAGAAAATTCTCAAAATTCTATTAGTTAAAAAATGTTTCTGATGTTGGTATGTAATCAGACATATAAAGATCATCCCTTTTTAAGGAGAATTATTAATTTGGAGGATAATTTAATGTTCCTGTGTACCTATATACAGATTTTTAAAAAAAATCTGTTAGTAGTTACTGGGTTAAATTAACCCTTTTAAAGAGAAAAGCACTTCATTTTGATGATGAATGCACCTTAGTGAAACTCATCCTGCATATAGAATATCTTGTTAATCTGAGGGATTGAACATTAATATTTTTAAATACCCTTTTAAATAACTTCCCTCATTCCACCTTCCTATTTTTCCATTGAATTCTTATGTAGTTATAAATTTGAATCACCATCTAAATTTCAAAAATAAGAGAACATTGTTTGGTGTTTAAAAAAAAAACTCAGTGGTATTAACAAAGGAATCTATGTGTGTGATGACTATCTGACAAGAAAGGATTTTAAACGTTAGGATATTTATATGTCTGGATGTACCTAAGATTAAATGTGAAGAAGGAAAGTAAACCATGCTTTAGAATGTATTTAATATCTGTTCACCAAGTTTCATTTAGGAAGGATTCTTACTTTGCTGCATGTTGTCCTTAAGTCCAGGCAAAAAAAATGCATCTACAATTGTTAAAACAGCTGTAATATTTTAAGAGTGCTGGCTGTTGTGCCTAAGAGTACATTATGCATATGGATGTAAACATGTAGTACTATTTTCAATCAAATGGGTAAATGTTGACATCTTTTAACTCTGAGATGCCAGTGGAAGTATCCATTAGTCATTGAATATAAATTTGTATCTATTATTTTCATTTGGTACTAGAGCAATGAGAGAAATTTGTTCAGCTGTATGTTTTGCACTCTCTGTATAGTTTTACAGAATTCATTTTTTTAAACTGTTTATTTCAAAACAAGATAAGCATTTTGTTTTGTTACTAAGCCTAGAAGAAAGAGTTTTTGCACATGTAGTGTACATTTTTCTCTTTTGTAACATGAGATGCCTCTTATGGTTAATCTTATACATTTTCTTGGTTATATTACTTAAAAGTTTAAAAGTATTAGACAAATGTTGAAAGATTAGGATCATGGGTATTGCTGTATTTTCAGTTTAGTGCTTCTGAGGATTTATTTCTTTGATTTCCTTTCAGTTTGTTGTTGTAATATCTCCCAAGTCATATTTCTCTGACTTGTAGCTATGACACAGTATTTTGATGTAAAATATTAATATGAGTGTTTGAGTAGAAATGAGAATAGTGTCTCTTTGAGAAAAATCAAATTTTTCATGTTCAGATACAATCAACATAAAATAACTAACTTTATTTTTGACAGTAATTTTCTTGATATGCATCTTGATGTTTAAGATATTTGGCTACAATTTTAACTTTCAAGTAGGTTATGCTAGAATATGCAATGATAGACAATTTTGAAAGTCAGCCCTTCAGTATTGTGAAGTGCTGAGAACTACCTTTAAACCTGAAACATTTGGAAATGACCTAAGTACATCACTGTAAAGAACTTTTAATCAGTTAAGGTAAGTTAGCAATTTGAAGTTGGTGGCACAGTGATGAATGTAACTCTACTCTTACTTGATTCTCTAACCTTACCAACATTTAAGCAAAGTATAAGTATTATGCTGTTATTTAATAAATGTTCAAAAACTGCTTATGATAGTTATGAGAGCATAGACATGATAAATAAAAACATGCTTGAGTGCATTTTGATCATGGTAATATATTGAAGTTTATACAGTTGCTTAGGAAAATAACTATGTTTCACTTAAAAGCTGAAGATTTAGCATGGAATTATTAGATGATTTTGAAGGAAATATACTATAATTTCTTTTTTTAAGTTATGGAAATACACATTCAGACTTAACATTGCAGGTGTAGTGCTGAGGCTAAAAGTCTACTTTTATGAGTTAAAAGTACAGTCACTATGGCCAGTTAAATATGCAAGCTATACAGTTGATGTACTGTAGTGATGTTAATAGTAATAGAGGCTGCACAGTAGGAAGAAAATTAATTTAGCTCTATCTTTATAAGATAGGTGTATTAATTAAAGAAGATGGTTCGTATTTTCAGACACACAATCATTAAACTTTTTAACCCATGATAATTTCACAAATCAGAAAAAATGAATTTTATACAATCTACCCTTTCACTGTTTGCATGTACTATGAAAGTTTAAACAGAGAAACAAATGATTTATTTCTATAAATCTTCTTCACCTTGATTTTTGCTGTCCCAAGGAAGCCAATATATCATCCTCCTGTGCTAAGTTTGAAAGTTTTAAAAGATAGAATAATAAGGAAAGAAGGAAAAAAAGGAAGGAAGATAAAAGAATGCAAACTGGAAATAAAGTATGTTTTGTAAAGCATGTTAATATTTCATGCTTAAAGTTCCCAGTAGATTTTGACTTGGTTGATACAGAATGCTCCATTGTGATTTGTAATGTGTGAATAAAAATTAAGTATCTCCATATTTCCTTTCATCTTTAATTTCACAAACATAGTTTTTCCTACCACCTTAAGAAATAGTGAGCCTGTAAGGGAGAAAGGCATGTAACCTGAGCTACAGCCCTGACATTCCCAGGGAGCATTTTTCACATGAAAGGCTTTTGTCAACCCAGTAAAGGACCAGCAGTTTTTGTTTGATGTTTGCAGGTGTTCAGCAGAGAGCACTAAAACAATTCAGCCATGATGGTTCAGAGCTTCTATGACCTTAACAGGGAGAATTGGTGGGCTCTGGAATTATTTTAAAGAAGACTTTCTTGCATTTATTTCAACCTGCATGTTGACTTTACAGAGTGATTTAATACCTGTTAAGTCATTGCTCTTAAACAAAAAGATACTTGTGTCCATTTGCATGGAACTTTATATATAAAGGAAAATAGGATGACCAAATGGAATTTACCTAGATAGTCTCGCAATTTTTGAATTTATGAGAGGGCCACCAACTTAAATTACTTTACTACTGCATCAAACCTATTAGCACCTATTTAGCTTGCAGACTTTTTTTAAAAAAGAAAAAAATAACTTTTATTCTACTGAAATTTGTTGATGCTAAAGATTTTTTTAGATAAGACACCTAGTCACCATTGTTAAGAGTTCTGATTTCCAGCTACTTTATGATGAATACTGTCTCCTTTTCCTCCATGTTTTCAAAATTTGACATTTATTATGTCAATATTTATTATGTTCAATTTTACTTAGGTTTTCAAGTGTCTGTTAAAATTGTCAACTGTAGGAATATTTAGATACTTTAAAAGAATAATTAAAATAGATCTTTTTTGTGGAACAAAAGTAATCCAGGTTCACTCATGTTTCTAAGGATGTACAACAGAACAAAATACACTGAACACTAGGAAAGCCTATCAGTTCAATTAATATAGGAGGAAAAAGTCAGTCCAACTGGTTGCTTGGCATCATCCAGATGATTATTTAGGACTTGTATAGACATGGTCCATGTCAACTTCAAAAATCTAAAAATCTTATTTATAATTGCATTAATCATATTAAGAGTTATCCAAAATTATAAAGCACTTGGTACGCCTTAAATTATTGTAGACCTTTTTATTTTTTGTCTTGACCTTTGATTTCACTGGTGTAGTTAGCTTCTGATGCGGAAACTCCCTAAATTGTACTGTAACTTATAGTCTTACAGGGTTGCTTGGGCCATTGAGAGGTTGAGGGACTTGTCGAAGGCCTGGAGCCCAGTATGTCAGAGGTAGGACTTGAACCCAGGTCTCCTGATTTTTAAGTCAGCTTTTTATCCTTAAGCCATGTTGCCTTTTATAGATATTTGAACTATTATTATTGTTGTTGTTGTTGTTGTTGACAGTTACCCCAAATAAACATTTGTTTACAAAGTTATGAAAACCTTGTGTCAAAATCTGTATTTTTCTACACAGTACAATTTGTAACAGTAGTACATTATAGATGACTTAGAGGAAAATTTCCAATAAAATACTTTGATAATTTTCAAAAACCACTGGATTTTATGTGAACTTTATGTATAAATATAACCCTCCATAATAGTTGTTTTAATCACTTGAATGTGGTGGGGGAAAATAGCCCCAGTGAAAGAGATTGTAGAATGGTGGTGTCATATGCTCTTAAAAATACAATACTGGCATTGTAGGGGAAAAAAATAATTACAATAGAATATGATGGTAAAAAAAAAAAGGACAGGAATTTATTAAGTCAGACACAAGAAATATAATTAAGCCTATACTACCTTAGATCTCTACATATTAGTGCTTCAGGGACTTTCAAGACCATTTTGTCTAAACCCTTTGTTTTACAGATGAGCAAACTGATTTCCACAGAAGTAAAGTGACTTCCCCAAGAGAATACAGCAATTTAGTGGTAGATCTGATCCCTGATCTCATTGTCTTTCCACTTTATCATACTCTATCATGTTTCGAGTTGAGGTACAGTAAAGCTCCACCGTCCAGTACTTTTTCCTTCAGAAAGTGTAATTTTATTTGAATGTCAGTTTTTATACTTTATGTATCCTACTTATTCATAATAGTTCAGTATTTTTGTGAATCGCTTTACCAAAATTCGTCTAACCCTGCATTGTGAAGCACTTGGAACCACTTTTACTAGTGTTGGTTCCTCCCTGAATGTAGGACTTTTCAGTAATTTTCTGTTCCCTTAGAAATCCCTTAGGAAACATAAGTACATAATGAACACTACCATGCTCCTTCTTAACCTGTTCTGTCACTGTATATTGTATGGTTGTATGAGGTAGCATTTGCACG